TGATATAAAGGCAATATATGGTAATATTCTATAAATAATTATAAATATAACATTATCTGGCTGAGTCCATGGGCTTGTAGACTCATCAAGTTAGAGAGACCCAAAAACGTTCTACTACAGTTTGTGATTTCAGAAACCTGCAAAGAGACCAATGTCAAGTTTGAAACATTATACAGAATAGGCATGGACCGATATCGATAATAGAGAAGACTAGAAACCATCCAGTATTTTTAGGCTAATGTTTGGCGTTTCCATCCTTAAAAGCCCTAGCTCAAAGTCTCATGGGCTATGCATCAGCCCACACAAGACTCTCAACAGTCCCAAGTGCGGGTCAACGACATGACCCACCGGTCGAAGGGTCCGGATTTCTGACGGATCCTGCGATCCCGGCTTATCAATGGGTCCAAACAGTTTGTACGCTCAAAAAACCATGGTTGATCACAGTGGATCATCATATTCCCAGCTCAAATGGCGATAAATTGGGGCCAAATCCCCCATTTCCGAATCCAAATGTTGACCCAGGATCCAACTTACTATCATTCTCAAAGCATACATTAAACTGTGTGGTTCACCATTATTATAGTTATTTATAGTTTAAGAACGGGCAATGGTTAGTAAGCACTAGTTCAATTTTTAATGATTTTGATTCCATGGTTTCCCATTACTTAAACTATCATTGAAGCATCATTGTACCCAGATCATCATTAAAATTAAGTATAATATGATAATATAGTATAATATATAATGGTTTGCCCTATCCAAAAAAATGCTCGTCATCTCCACCAATACAGTAATCCCTTTGATATGCTTGAAAAAACAATCAAAAAAATCTCTCCTCCCACTTTTAAACTACCATTTATTTACAAAAGTGACCTCGCCGGAAAAAAAAAAAATCCGGTCGACCATCCCATCTCCTCCAGCGCTCATTGTCTCGAAGCCCATCCCCACCAACTGTGCCACCTGTTCATCCAGGTCGCGGCTGGACGCGGAACCAGCGGAACTGGAGGCGTCGGGGAGGGGCGGCGGGTTCATCAGCAACATGTCCTGGGGGCAGCGGAGATCTCAATTTTTTTTGGGAAAAAAAAGTGAAAAAAAAAAAACAGGTTGGATTCATCGAAAGTGGCTGGCTTCAGCCAAGCTTCGGCAGCCCTTTCCACGTTGTTCTGACCTCAAAAAGGGGAAATTGGATCAAAGGAAGTCTAAGCACCCAAGCAACTTTGGGATGGGATGGCTTGTTTGGAGGGATCATGGTGATGTCATATTTCAACGTCGCTGCCTATCATTGATAGTAATACAATGTAATACACACATGTGTTTTTTCCGTTTGACATAAGCATTCATGACCAGCAAGAGCTCATGAGCAGACAGAGAAAACATAGGAGAGAGCTACACAACTACAGTACATACTTAGATAGATGCCCAAATAAAAGTTATGGCCCAAAACATGTCCATCGAGCGGCCGACAACAACTATGCAGAAAACGATAAAGAAAGGTATGGAAATGATGAGCACGGACAACCCATTGGATCTAAGTTCAATAACCACCAGCAATGCATAATCCATATAATCCAGCATCTTTTTATATCTTTTCAGACTTTCACCCAGTCACACAGAAGGAGCGCTTGCTTTGCCAAGCATGGAGGAAAGCCCATCGCAACCAGAGTATCCACCATGGCGGCCGGCCGGTGTCGGCTGCACGGGTGCCCCTTTTTTTACCTAAAAACATACTGTCGACTCCTGCACCACATGTCGAATTCCTCATTCACACCTTTGGAAAGATAAGTTGGATTACCCAGGGTGCCATGTAAGAAATAAAACAAAACAACATTACATTTACCAAATGAGGGATTAACCAGCGGAAAAATCATGGAAATCATCTTGAGCAACTCTCAGGTCATTGCCGAAAGTTCCTACACCACTGGCCAGCTTTGGACTAAAACGGCATCCAGCCCTGGACTGGTTGCTGGTGCACCAAACCTACCCTGCACCTTCCAAAGAAACTCTCGATTTGGGATCAAAAATCAAACCAACTGTTTGAAAATAAGCCATGTAATTAATTCATTTGGAGATGTTGGAGAACATATTCTTTTATAAATACTGTCGCAAAACCTGTACAGGCATAGGTGTGCATCAAAGGTTGAAATGAGAGACGTGTCTGTGAACTCAGGCGTTATGGGAAAACAGTTGTACAACAATTGTCCCATCTGGAAGTCGAGTATCGTGAGTGGTGCCCCTATCTACGAGTTGTACCTCCAAAGCTATCAATGAAGGTTTGCAACTTGTCCTCATCGCAACGCACCTGAAAGCGGAACAAAGTCCATTTTCACATCGTCCATGCTCGCTTCACTTGCCCAGAGATTGACAATGCACTTGGAGGCCAGGAATTCCGCGAGTAAGTGCTCATCAAACCATAGTTGGAGGGGTCAATTACGTGATTTTTTCCCCAACTTATGTGGCTTAAATTCCCACGGTTTCCTTCGGTACCAGGTCCACTGGGCCTGGTTGGTCTGGAGCCATTGGGCTGCTGCAAACCTGAACCTGATCATGGGAACTGGGTACAGAACGACCACCAATGAAAATCTTAAAAGTGGGGAAAAAAAACATGGGGGAAAAAAAAGGTTCGATTGTGACCGATCAATGTGTTTTTAACTGGGGACCCCGAAAAAAAAAAGAATCGGCTCCCAAACTCGCCTGACGTTTGTTAACATTGGTGATTTTTGGGGTCTCCAAGGTCCGAAACATTCATACGTGCATAATCGTGCATAATCGTGCATATACAACTAGCCAAACAAATAAAAAAAATACCATCAGAAAAGAGTACAAACATCAACGAATTCTAAATAACCAAAACGGGCATGCACCTATTGAAATATGGGTTAAAATCCCGAGGACTGTGTGGGGTGAACCAAATCCCTGTATAGACCATAGACTCAGTGATAAACGGTTTGTAGATCTGAATCTACCCCGGTGTTTCCACAGTAGCATGTTTGAGAGAAGGATTATGCATGAGACGGGGGAAGGATGGGGAACCCGCAGCAATTCGCAGCAAACACTGGGTCGTACTTCACGAATTTACTGGCGCTTTGTGGTCACCTTGGATGTTTCAAATGAAGGGTTGATCTGATAAAAAAATCTGCATCACCTGCTACTTCCCACATGGCAATGACTAAGTTGCATCGGTGCCAAGATGGAGAAACACGGCAAAAACAACAAGTCTCCTGGATTCAACACATGTTCTTCCAGATTTAAGCTATTCAAAACATGATTCCTCGCCATGAAAGAAAATAACAAACTACATCCAGCACGGGTGTATGACACACAACCCCTCGGACCTCACACGGCAATTTGATGCTGAGTGCAGGCAACTCAAACCGAGGATTGGACCGAGGATGTTAAATTATCCATCAGCAGATGTGTAATTTGATTCGTTTTTTGTTTGGACCCATAGCATCCATGTCTGGGACACCCGACCAGTTCGCCCAGAGCATGTAAAGACGATGCCACGACCCGAGCATAGCGGTCTTGCCCTCAGTGAGAAATGCAACAGTTTCTTGGGAGGGACAAGAACTGAAACTGCCACTAATGATGGAAACAACAAAACTTTACCAATGGACTATGGTGCAATGGAAAACCCACACTTTCAGGCCCGTCGGGTACAGAAGGCCCCCGCAAAATATAATCATCAAGCATCTAGGGCCAGGGTTTCATGCGGTTTGAGATTTTTTTTTGGAATCGCAAAGATTGGACGTGAGCAGTAATGATTGGAATTGAAAATGTTTGCCTGACTGCTCCTTTTCGCCGTGAACGGCTCAAAAACTGGAAGACCATGAGCAAGCAGCAATGGCCACACATTGAAACTGCATGCAACCGGACAAAACTGATTTTTGTTTAATCTAACAACTGCCATCTCCAACACTCTCCGAACCATCGCCATCCGATCATCCTGCAGCTGCGGTGCGTTCCAACGCATTGTCTTTGTCAACTGAAGGCTGCTGAAGAATTCCGAGTTCGTCATGCAACGACCTGGGGGGCTGGCCCTACAGCTCAAAGTGTCTCCTTTGGTGCTGGTTCCCTCAAGCACGGGCGCAGCATGGCGCAGCTTCGTTACAACGGTGGCACAAGTGCTTGAAAAATTGCAACATCAATTAATTCTGACAACGGTCAGAGCCCCGTCTCCGAGGCTGTATGGGCAGCGCCCTCCAAGTGAGGCGCCTTGGCGCTCTTCACGCCGTCACCCTCCGTGCCTTTAAGCTTGGACATCGTAACTACAGTAATGCTGCAAGCCAACCTGCTTGTCCTGACATCCATCGTTGACAGCAACGATATGCATCCGTATGCTAGGCCAGGACTTGTTGTTTGTAAGCGGTAGCCTCGGGAAACCAAGTCCTTGTATGAGGCAAGCGTGCCAGAGAAAGCAAACATTCTTCCCCTAGGACAGGAATGCGTTCTGATGAAAAGTGAGATGTAGTAATCTGCAAAAAAAAATAT